TGGGGGGGAGGTTGGCAGAAGGTGGCGTAGGTTCCATTCTCTGGATAGCCTAGGCATTCTTTTTTTTTTTTTTTTTCTCCTTCCCCACCCAGGGGTCAGATGGCACAATCTGGGGACTGAGGAGCTCACCCTGAGGGCCGCGACGGCTCTTCGGCTTTCTAAATATACTTATTTAACTTTAACTGTATGGATGTTGTTGTTGTTATGTGTCGTAGAGTTGTTTGCAACTTATAGCGACCCTATGTACAACAGCCCTAAGCTCTGCTCTCTCCTGTGCCAATCGCACTGTCTCCGACACACCCATCCTGATTATCCCAGTCACTGAATCAATCCACCTCATAGAGGGCCTTCCCCTCCTGTGCTGTCCCTTCACCCTCCCAAGCATGATGTCCTTCTTCAAGGACTGGTCTCTCCTCATAACATGTCCAAAGTATTTTAGACAGAGCCTCAGAATCCTTGCCTCCAAGGGGCCACCTGGTTTAACCCTTTCCAGGATGAATCTGTTTGTTTTCCTAGCAGTCCATACCACTAACTCAACTCATCAAAGAACCAAACCCCTACTGCATTAGAAGTAGCCTATTTTTAGAAAGATGTATATATTTTTTATAGATATTATGCTAGTACCTGAACACTTGTAAAAACTTATCTAAAAAAAACTTCTGAGAGTCTACTTGAGTAATTGACAACCACTAGGAAAAAGTAAAAATCAGATACTCATGAGCAAATTTGACAGTGTTCCTATTGGCCTTAGGTCTTATTGAGTTGTCTTAGGTGGCCTCATGTTGCCGTGATTGAGTTGAATATGTCTCATGGCACGCCAGTGAACAGCTGATCTGAACTTGTATTATGCTCTGCCGTCCTTATCATCTCTGATATACTTGAGCCCATTATTCCAGGCACTATATAGATCCATCTTGTTGAGTCTTCCTCTCCTTTGCTGGCCCTCCACTTATCCCATATGATGTCTTTTTTTCCAAGAATTGGCCCCTCCTAATAACATGCCCAAAGTGTGTGAGAAAAAGTTTCACCATCCTTGCCTGTAAGGAGCACCCTCAAAGAGATCTGAATCTCACCCTAACCTATGCCATCTTCATGATCTCTGTCCTGTTGAAGCCCTTTGTGGTAATCACTATAGCAGTTTATCTTGATGAGGGTCTTCCTCTCTTTTGCTAACCTCTACTTTTCCCTGCAAGTTACTTCTCTCGAAGCACAGGTTCCTTCTGAAAATAAACCCACAGTAAGTAAGACAAATTTTCACCCTTCTTGCCTGTAAGGTGCACTGTGGTTTCACTTTCTTCAAGACAGGTTTGTTTGTTCTTTTATATACAGCACTCTTGACAAGCATCACAGTTTAAAGGCATAAATTATTTTTCAGTGATTCTTACTCATTTCAGATGCATAGAAAGCAATGGAAAGTAACATGGTTTGGATCAGTCACTCCTTAGTCTTTAAACTGGTGTCCTCGCTCTCTAGAATTTTGGAGAGGTTCTTGACATTAGATTTCCCCATTGTACCACATCTTTTGGTTTCCTGAGGACTTCTATTATGGATTTTGATTATGGATCCAAAGAAAATGACATTGTTGACAACAATTTTTTTTCATCCATCCTGATGTTGCCTGTTGGTTTAATAGTGAGGATTTTTGTTTTCTTGATGGTGAGATGTAATCCATATTGAAGAGCAGAGTCTTTGATCTGAAAACATAAAGAGAAGAGAGGATGAAGTGAAAGAGCTGAACAGGAGTACAGAGGGCAGCTGGAGAAGACAAAGCAAAGCATGTGTTTGTGATAGTTTGTATTAATTAGTAGGAGCCCTAGTGGCACAGTGGTTAAAGTGCTAGACTGCCAACTCGGAGCTCAGCTAATCTGCTTTCTCAAGAAAAAGATGTGACAGACTGGCTGTACAAAAATCTATACCCTTCAAAGTCCTGTGGGACAATTCTGCTTTGTTTTTAGGGAGTTGCTATGAATTAGAATTAAAGAGATGAGTGAGGTTTTGGTTTATATTAATTGGTATATTAACTTTATATATTTCTTTTTCTTTTTAAAGGTAATGTGGCTTTAGATAATCTACAGATAAAAGAAAATGCTTTGGTAAGTTTATTCCTTTTTTTTTAGTAAAATATGATAACTTTTTTATTAAAACACTCAACTTTTTAAATTAAAAAACCTATGTTAACTATTGTTTTTAAATAAACAATGATAACTTTGTGGGTTTGTTTTTTTTT